ATACCCGTTAAATAGAAAATGGCAAATAATGCCAGCTAAATGGATACATTGCCTTAAGCCTTAATTGATATTTGCGTTGCGTTTGTTTTGCAAAAGTTTTGATATCGATGCCAATGCCTGAGCTGCATACAAATTAAGCGCAACATTTAATTTCCTTAACCAGCCAATAATAGGTGAATACTACCATAAAGTCAAAGACATATATATGCATACATATATACAGACGACACGCCTTGAGCTGCATAAACAATTTGACGTCAATTCGACTCGCTATTTTTATGAAAATTTGTATAAAAAAGAAAGATTCCAACAGGAAAATTAAAAAACAAAATGAAAAGCCCAAGTGCGTTATTCCCAAATGATTTGTTAATATACACGCAGAGAAAAGATCTAGTTAAATTAAAAAATAAATAAAATTAAAAACATAAATAATTTAAATAATAATAATAATAAATTTGTACCAAAATTAAGCAGAAATTTGTTAAGGATACATTCAAAATTAGTTTATAGCTTTAATAATAATAAAAATCTGCCTTTTTTTTGATAAGTGTACCAAATAGTTTATTGAACTACCACTACGATGCTGTAAGAATTCTAAATAAATAAATCTATAATAGTACATATACTATAGATTATCGACAACTATATTAGAAACCTTCGAGCATATTTTAAATGTTAACAAAGAAAAACATTTAAATGTTTTATTTTCTTGCGCTAAAAGAAAATTTGGACAGAGGCCAGAAAACAGAACTTTTTTTTTTTTGGGGAGGAAACGATGACGTCTTTTTTAGTTATTTTTTATTCTCAGACCAATCGCTAAATGCAGTTTTGAGCTTTGCAACCCCAAAACGAAACCCTCGACTGATAAGTTGACCAAGACCAAATGACTCAGAGCTCGACTTTTGGCCAGACGCAAAGAAAACCGAAGAGGAAGAAGAAAAATGCAAAAACAAATGAAATAATATACAAATGCATAGGCAGCCTGTAGTATTAAATGTGAGTGTAAATGAAGGGGACAAAGAAATATTTAGCCGCTGACCCTTAAAAAGCAATATTTGACATTTGTGCTCAAAAGATACATTTGCCACACAAATAAAGCAGAAAGAGCGGCTGGCACTGATTAATAGGCAAAGCGGAAAATTGTTTCAAGTGTAGCTAAGCAAATAGTAAAGAAAATTACGTCTATGAGAATCGCATGTAAAACGCTTCGTTTGTGCGAAAAGAATAGATTGTTTAGCTATAAGATGGTATATTTTAACGTATTAGAGAACATCTCTCTTGTTCAATTTATGAGAATCACATAGAAGGCAGCTGTTGTTTGTGGAAGCAATAAATATATTCATAATATTATATTCAAATTTTTAGCTTGGAGAGTAAAATTCTGAAAAAATCATGTGATCTATGCAGGCTAATATAAAAATTGCATGAGAATCGCCTAGAAGAGAGATTTTGAGATATGAGTCTTGAGTCTTGACGCCAATGAGTTTCTTTGTAATTTTAGAGAATCGCATACGAAGGCTCTGACTTTTAAGAAAAGACAAATTTTATCTGAAAGGAAACCTATATCTCTAGCATTGTAAGGCATTTGTAGAAAAGACAATGATTCAATCAAAAGTAAAGTCAAAAAGTGATCAAGAACATATATGTTCTATAGCTATAGTCCAATTGTAATGTCTGTGGAAACTAATTTTGGTCTAGCAGTTCTATTCAATTGAATTTTTTTGGGCATTACGACTTGCCGGGCAGCCGTGCTTCTAGGCATTTTCTAATACACAACACTGTGGGGCTTAATTGCCGACGCACTGATCCAATTTTAGACAGCTGCAAAACTTAATGGAAACTGTTTCAAAAACATGAGAGGGAGAACGAAAGAGAGAAAGAACTAACAAAAAGTAAACTATGTGGCTGTAAGTTGAAAATAGCAAACATAGAGGAGCATGTATACATCTATCTATAGTGAAATTGAGCGTGATGGAAGCATTGTTACAGATACCAAACTGTAGCGGATATGCTAAAAAAAAACAATTTATAAACAATTAACAACTAGGCCGCCAACTGATCAAGAAATATTGAGCATAAGGTAGGCTGGTATCAGGTAAGATCTGCTATAGAGCATTAATATTGCTCAAATTAAAATAAAGTGGACTTCAAGCCAAATAGCTAACATGTACTATGCTTGACATGGAGATAGAAGAAATATTTTAGATCATTGTACATGCATAATACCTTAATCGAAAAAAAAAAACATATGAAATTTAAAAAGTAAGAGATTTATTACTTAACAGATATTCTAGATAAATATTAATTTTATAAATTTAAAAATTTAAAAAGAAAAATCCTAATTTTTCATTTAAAAAATATTAACCGAAGGCCTATTTTTTTAGAGTCTACAAATCTATATCAGATATATTTTTCAAAAAGTTTCCCTTTCAACACTTAATCTGTAAACTTCAATCAGAGCAATTACATATAGGACTTTCCATTTAAGCCAAATAACGCCGGATATTACCTAGTCTTACGCATGAGAATACTTACACTTATGCGATATACTGTACAGCATTCAAATGTGGCGCTTCCAAAAGTATCCGAAAGTTAACGAAAAATGTGTTAGAAATGCCGTTAAACTCTGCTTTGCTGCTGCTGCTTCGATTTTGTTATTTTTGTGACGGTTTGTTGTGGCTGGATTTACATTGGTTCACGTTGTCACAGAAACTCGTGCAGCACATTGTAGGCCAAAGTACATGGCGCACAAAGTAAAGCGGGGAAAACAATAACAAAAACAATAGCGACTATTGATTGTTATGCTATGCCGTGGCGAAGTTATGCGAAGTTGTCTCTCACTCCCTACCCGTTTTTCCCTCACAGTATGTTTCTCTGGAATATGTTGTGACAGACAAAAGGGCTTAAACTGTTGACAATCCAATTAGCGTTGCGTTGTCCCAAAGAAGCCGACAACGCGTTTGGTTAACTGGGCGTATACACGATTTTAGATATTACAATCGAAAATTTGTTTCAAAAATCACTTGAAACTCTTAGAGAATCCACAACAGATCACAAAATATATATTCACATATATATATATATAGCGGTAAACTTTCGTTATTTCAGACAGCAGCAAGAGACGAAAACTACGGCGGAAAATGTTACGGAAAATGGCAAACGGAAAGCTCGTCGACGCGACCCGCACGAACACACAACAAGAGTCAAACTGAATGGCAGCCAAAGCGAGCAGAAGGCGTGCGAGTGCCTTGCTCGGAAAATCTTCGAAAAGCGAGCAAACGGAAAGAAACGCAAAGAAAATGCTAACAACAAATGAATTCCACTCAGAGAGTAAAACGGAAAATTGAAAACAAAACTTATTGCTTATAAAAATAACAATCGAAGAGCAGAAGGAAAATCGAGTGTTAGTCAAGTAGAGTATATTTAAGGCGACTGCTCGACTATGCGATACCCTGTAAAGCAGACTGTGGGATGTAGAAGAATAATGGAGATTAAGAATAAGAATAAATACGAATGTGAATATAAATAGAATATGCTTATATCCTATATAACTCATGTGCTCAGATTCTGATACTGACCAATAACCTTAACTCAACCTTTTTAATGGGCATAAATGGTAATAGAATAAGTGGGTAAACAACGTTAAGAACATGATAACCGGTTACATACAGTAGAGCTTAGCCAACATACCATGTCTTATACCCACATTTAATGAGTATTCATGTAAATAGACAGAGTGGCTGAAGAAACACAAGAATAATTAGAGATAAAATATCCTAGACTGAGATGAAGAAAATGAGACTCAATATGTGACTGAAAAGAGTGATTTAAAGGATAAGGAAATTGTGTAATGCACATGTCTAATAAGCTAAAGCACGTGTCTGCACGTACGGCACTCACCTTGACAATGTAGCAGCAAGTGTAGCGGCTGGAGCTGGAGCGTCAGCTGAACAGGTGAACAGGTTGCAGCAGCTTGCAGATTGTTCTGCAACATCCTTGCACTGCACTCGCACAATATTACGCGCGTCCTTGACCGTATCGAGCGCGCGTCTGATGCACACGCGTTAAACATTTCGCACGATTTGCGCGCACTTTAAACACACGCGAAAAAAAAACAAACGAACGAACGAACAACAAAACAAATTGCCAAAGTTTTGGCGCGCGTTTTGGAGAAACGCCCAAATGCAAATGATGCCGCTGGCCAGCCAAAAAATATATAATTTAAAAACTTACCTGTGATATATGGGCTAACTAGGCGACTTCACTAAGCTACGAATCACTGGATTTAACACCATTTAACACAATTTTGAGACTCCTGCAGGAGCAGGTGAAGCAGTGAAACAGCAAAACAGCTGAGCGATGCAATTTGGCAGGGGGAAGCGGTGTTTGGGGTGTTTTGGGCTGGAGACCGTGCACCCTGTGGGATTGCAGCGGCGCCGGAGGCACAATGTGTGGCCAGCTATGCGCGTTTGGGTAACACTTTTACGAGAAAACGTAAATTTTGCGATTCACATTAATAAATAAAAACGGCACAATTTCTGCTAGACAATTTCCAGGCGGGTTACCACTCACACAGTCAGTGCTGTGAACTGCGCGAATTTCAGTGTTGAAAAAGGAACAAAGTGCTCCACAGTAAACGAATGTTCGTTCAATGAGCAGCGGCGTTTGAAATTATTATTGTTGCATTCGGCTGCCAACAGGGGGCGCCCGATTTAATAGCGATTTTCTGTGAAAAATTCGTTTTATTCGACTTCCAATAGGTGGCGTCTCAGCTACAAATTACTCACTCAACGAAACGCTGCATTTAACAGCTGTTTAGTTAACGAACGCCTATGTTATCTATTATTTACAAAAAACAAAAAATAATAATAATAATAAATA